AGTATTTTAACCCTTCTTCGGAGTTGTTACTTACGTAACCATAACATAGCGAATAGACGCTACACAGTCAACTAGATTTTTAACAGTTAAATGACTTTTTTACTACTTTTTTACTAGGTTTTTAACAGCTAGAACTACAGGTAATATATATTTTGTTCAGATATCATTTGGTTAGCACGTAGTTTATCAACATTAGTAGGAAAGTAGTAATCGAGTGTATATAGGGTTTCTATCTTCTTTATTTGCTTCGCGAGTCACCAAAATAAACGACGGTGCTTTTCTAAAAATAGACTGAAGTGTCTAAGGGTGTTTTATCTATTCTTTCATGCATACAAATTTTCCTTAACAGCAGTGCATGAACCATCCATTTAGTTACTGTTAGATGTTTTAATCTATTTTTTTTTCGGAGAGGATATACGTGTGTGAGAATCTGTCTCTTGTGAGAGAAATTATATTTTCTTAAGTGTCATTTTGGGAGGGGGCGACCAGAGCAATATGCCATCAAAAATGAAGCCCGTTGTTACGATAAAGGAAGGAAACGTTAAAATCGGTATAAGACTGAATTAAAACATCCCTGCTTGTTTTACAGTTATTTGGCCTGCAGGGGAAAATGTCTAATTATTTCGATTATGCCGATGGGTATGACTTTGCTTATTCCGGATGACCTGGAGAAATCTGTTTTACTCTTCTTCATTAGTGAATCTTTAATGAATTTTTGTTTGCAATCTTAGTGATTCTGGCGCCATTAAATATAAAGAACAAGTTTATTGAAAAACATAGTATTAAGAAAAGGGAGTGAGAAAGAGAAACAAAAAATAAAAAAACATAAAATTTTTTAAAAAATCTGAAAGTTTTTAGATTTTACATTACGGCCCAAAGGGCGTTTTTTAACGTTTTGTGTGTTACCTTTACTTATTAAATATCATGTTCTTCGCACTTAAACCATAAAATTCAATCCAACAGCAATATTGCAACGCCTGACAAAATATAAAATAGATAATAAAAGAAATTCCAAATTAGGCTTTCCAGATTCCTATATTCGTTGGAGAATTGCGTTATTCAAAAATTGATGGCTCTTGGTATCCGTTGTTTTATCACAGTGCGATAAACATGCATACATTTATGCAGATTTTTCATTATTTGATTTCTTTAAATATAATACAGGGTCTAATATTTGGTGGCAACAATTTAAAAAAGTGATTCGCCGTTTATACTGAATCAACACAAAGTGCCAAAACGAAGTTAATAGCTATTTTGGGCTAATTTTGCCTTTAGGCTAAGCGTTTCTTAAGATTAGGAGGTAGTGATATGTGGGAGAAGTAAAAGCGGTTAATAGGAAATTAGTTTTCGCTTTCTGAAATAGAATTTATGAATTTTTAGATATGAGAAAATAATTGCATTAATAATGTTATTTAGTCTTTCTTATTTTCTTCAATATGCGTTGCGATATAATATTGGTGTCTGGTTAAAAAAAATGCTGAAGGGTGTATTCGTTTCAGTTAAGGTAAATAAATATCAAAGATAGGTAAACATCGAAAATTCTGTCTAAAAATTTATTTTAGATTTTTCTTTCAAAAGTTAGCTATAGTGTCCCCTTTTTTATAAATCCATAAACCGTTTTCAAATTCATCAGCTCATAGCGATTAGCAAAGTTGTAGCTATTTTTCTGAAATGTAGTATTCTTGAAGCGGGCTTGGAAGTAAATGAAAAACTAGCATTTATCATTTTAATTTTCTACTTTGCTGTATATTACTTAGTTATATTTTGACACAAAATTTTATTTTGAGCTTTTATTTGGAGGCATCTAATTATTTTTAATCCAATTAATGTGATTTTAACTTATTATTTTTAAAATGTATCATTAGCCGATGTTAGACGAAACATTTGTCATTCAGAAACTTATAAGCCTGAAATAATATTCTTAATTTTTTTAATTAGGAAAATAGTATGAAATAAAGGAATCTTTGCAGATTAAAAAACAATCTTGTTTGACGTCATTTTATTCTTTACTTTTTTCCCTACTTAATTATTTTTATTGAAGAATTTGGTACAAAAAACAAATAAGTGTTCGTATGAAAAATTTAAAAGCTTATCAATTTGATGAATCTGTAATTTTTATGAAAAAAAAGAAATGTTACTCTGAACATATTAGTAAGTACAGTAAACCCTCTACCCCGTGACTACTTCCGTAAAAAAACGCTAAAAAAGCACCATTATTTCTTAAACAAATGTGAACAAACATCCATTAGATTAATTACAGTAGCAGTTTTTAGGCTGAACGTATCTGACAAGAAATAAACCATCAAATATGCAGTTTTTTGGCGATACCAAAAATGCCTAATTTCGCTATAGAAATAAAATGCTTTATGTAGTATTAATAAATAAAAAACACACATTTTCGGCGTTTATTGTAGCAGCAGAATTATTGTTACGAAACGAAGTACGAGTACTTACTAATGAAATGAATTTGATCCCTTCTTTCTTTATTTATTTAAATACGGTAAAGCACACGACCGCTAACCACTGAACGTCGTGTCAGTTATTACATGGGTTTATATCGAATTATAGTTTAGTTTGGTTTAGTTTAGTTTAGTTTATTATGGGAAAGCACACTAAGGCTATCTGCCTTAGGGGAGGACTTTCTGAGGGAAACTGGCTCGTAAGAGAAATATGAATAGTGTTGATATTAAAAAATTGATCAGAAAAGGGAGATGAAGGAAAGAACATTTCACATCTAAATTTTTATTTGAAAATGAATCGGTATACATGTGAGGTCTAACCACCTGGGCTGCATTGGTGCTTTCATGGTTTTCTGCCATGTGTAACGTAAATACAAACCAATTTCCGTTAGAAAGTTCTTTCCGAAGGCATCCTTTTCCTTAGGCAGATAGCCTTTGCTTGTTTTGCCTTAATAAAAATAAACCAAACTAAATTAATTATTTAGTGAGATGAACAGAGATACGGTATTGCGATCTTTTGCAGCGTTATCAAGCACTTTGATTGTATTATTATGCTATAGCGGATTAAAAACTAAAATAAAATTGCAGAAACGACCTTAATATAGTGGATGAGTCGCATTTTGTTTACCATGTATGATAAATAATCGGCCACGTTTGCGGATGCAAATTGGTGTTCATGGTCGTTATGTGGTGGAAAGACAGAGTGCATTGGCAATAAAGGGGTTTTAAAGTTATGTAATAAGGCAAAGTAAGTAGAAATAATGTATGCAATAATGAAGCGTATTCTCAGATGCAAGTTGTTATGCAAGATTTGCCCACCAGCGGCCAAGAGGTAAAATCGCTGAACATTGGTAATTCAGGCCTGGGCTCGATGACTGGCTACATTACGTTTTCGGTGATTTTCCCCATGTGTAAATGTATACGAGCACGTTTCCCTTAGAAAGTCTTCCACGAAGTCATCTTTGCCATAATCAACTAAACCAATCTTATCTAAGTCAGTTTGTGCACAAATAGTTCTGCTGTTCTATCTAAGAATTTTTAAAAGCTCTTCAAATCTACATTCATCAATACTTCGACACTACAAACGATAACGAATAATTAAAATCGTTAATCGTCAGTATATAAATATAACGTAAAAAAATTAGTGTTGTATATTTTTAAAGTAAGTATTCATTTTCTAGTCGTCCTTTTTATGCATGTGAAGAACATATTTGTCATAAGGCTCCTGATATCGTTCTTCCTTTCAAAACACTCTTTCTTGGATTACCTGGAAAAGAACTGACGAAGAACTGATATTTTTCATAATTTCAGATCGAAATCTATTATGAGATAGTAGAACGTGAACTGGTTTCACTTCCAAGCATTCTGAAATTTCGTCATTCATAAGTACCGGGTTCCCTTAGTTTATGTGTGACCGGCTGTCGATTTTATATATTTATCATTCTTATTTGGCGACTTTGGCGAGAATACATCTGACATTAAAATGCATAAATGCTACATTTTAATATAAATGTTGGGTTTTATTTACATTTTTAAGGAGGTACAGATTTTATAGGGTTATCTGAATTTTTAAGCTTGAACTTTCTAATAAATTTTTATGGATCTTTAAAGTAGTTTCTGATTTTCTACCCTTAAGATTGCTTACTTTTGCGAATTTTTATATTTCGAAGATATCTAAACATTTTATATGTTTGCGATCTTAGTTAGTATTGTAAGGTTAGCTAATTAGCTCATAATCTTATTATTTTGTCTGGACTGTCTCATTTACTTTCGTCAGTTGATACAAGAATGCAAATTTAGCTAAGCGTATATAGGGACAGAGCTCTTGAAAGTTACTTAGAAAGCTCTGTGAGTGATGCTGATTTTCGTGATATTTCCTCGGCCAGAATTACTTCAGACTGGTGTTAGTCTTTTTGCTAGCCGAGTTTGCTCGCGCTTGTAGAATTCTGAGCAAACGTTGGATAGGAAGTTGACTTGTGAATTTTTAAGAGTTTAAATCTTAATAATTTTCATTGCAAAGAGTGGAGACTGAATTATAAGCAGACGTCTTGTATTCTTTACGTTTCAAGATTTAACAAAAAGTTTGTTTGAACCTTCACATGTGTAATTTTCTTTGAGAAGATTGGCGGCTGAGTCTCCTGACAGTCTCACAAAGAAACCATGCTCACTTAAATATGTAATTGGTCCCGTATAATATTAGTCATTTTTTTAAATGGTGGAAAGATTTCCCGCATGTTAAGGTAACTAACTGGATGTTGTATGAGAAACGGAAACAGGGGGAGGGGGAAATCTGTGTGTTACGCTTTTGTGTTGAAACTGGGGTGCCGGTTTACGTACATGATTGTGTTTATTCAGCTGATAGTATTCACTTTATTTCGTCACGTGCGTCTTTAAACATCACTGACCCGATAGTATAGAAGCAGTCTGAAGTAAACAGATAAAAAGTACACAGTTGTAATCATGACGACGTATCACGTTCAGCCCTCGTGGTTACACCTCTTTTCTAGCGAATCCAGACGCAGCTGATGCAGAACTCGAGTAACTGTCAAATGCTTTGAATTTGCTCGCTATTTTTCAGTGCTGCAGAACTCTGATGGCGTTTTATTGCATTTATTATTTCGAGAGATACATACGTAGAGGATGGAAAGAATGCGAATATTGGAAAACAATGCAAACGAAATTAGCTGCTTTTACCATTATACGGGGAAAATATTAGGTAACGTGCACTTCGAGATTTCCGAAAAGAAAAATACTGGATTGTAACAAAATTCTTAGTACTTTGCGTACAACTAGTTGCAGATCTGAAGCTGATAAATTCCTAAAATTATGCCCCAGTCTTTGAGTTTCTTTAGAAATTAATGATGGTGCTTAAAGAATACAGCAGGACCCCTCAAAACAGCCTGAATTCGAATCGCAGGTAAGGTTTGGCTTTTGATTGTCGTGTTTATGTAAAATAGGAGTGTTTAATACTTATTCTGTCGAAATTTTTTTTTTGTGTAGTTCTTAGCGGAAAACGATGAGTATGAAAACCTCATATGCCATTTCTTACCTTACCTAGTAACATTCAAGATATTAAATAAAAATCATTATTAGCTGGCAAACGACTTGCACATTTTTATGCAATATATACAGTCGAAAACAGCTTACAAATAAATACAATAGTACGAAGCTATCTATAAAAATTTTCTGTTACGTTTATTATGAATTACATAAATTAAATGTGTTCTGAATGGCATCAATTAGAGAATATTTTTAAGAATGAAAAAATGCTATAAATTATTACGAATTATGTATTTTACATACAGATTCCTCCGTTAGTTTATAAGGTATTTCTTCCGACTTCTTAGCATGCCTTCGTAGTGTAGTGGTCAGCACGCTCGGCGCGTATTCGAGAAGCCCGTGGTTCGAGTCCCGGCGAAGGTGTTGCTCATTTTCCATCTCTCCTGCTTCCAAAAAATACCTAATGTCTCTACAAGTTATGTATTAATATTTATTTTCAAATAAAAAATCAAATATCTTATCGACTGGCAACATCTCCGAGTCCTCGTAGTTGGCGTTGAATGATAGCATTTACCATGCTGCGTGTTTGATGAATAATACCCTTGTGATGTAAAGTAACGGCAACCCCCCCCCCCCCCCCCGAGAGACATATTTAACTTAAAGGAGAAGGTCCACCAATGGCTGAACGGTAAAATCGGTGAACGTAGATAGTTCGACTGGGGTTTGAATCCCGGAGAACGGGCAAGCTGCATATGCGTCATCATAGTGATTTCCCATATGTAAAGTGAATACGAGCCAGTGTCCCTTAAAAAAGTCCTCCTTAAAGGCAGCCCTCCGCTTAGGCACATAGCTCTGGTGTGCTTTGTCGTAATAAACTAGCCCAAAGTCAAAAGGGAACATATTATGCAATTTAAATACCATAAATGCTAGCAGATGTACAATTAGTTGTCTCTGAACCTATAATTTCACAAGATCTGCTCCACATAGATGATAACCGCGGAATAGTTTGTAAATAGAGTTTAAAAATAACTTTCGGAATTTGGAGAATGGTTTTGGTAAGACACCAAATTTGGATAAACAATGGACTAAGCAATTATGGCTAATGCGTTATGAAACTATGGTAGAAGTATCATTAATGATACTTTACATTAATTTTAGTGGTGCAACTTTTACTTCACTTCGTTTAAGGTGTATTGATTTTTAATCAGGAAAAGCTGTCATGGAAATGCCTTTATATGCTGCAAAATTTTTAAAAAAACTGGAAAACCGCTGTTCTGAACAATAGGGAAATATCCTTCCTGTGTGTGTGATCATTTGGAAGTCTAGACTAAGTTTTTCAGCGTGTTGTTTCTTTACGTTCTCAAGTAATTTATCATCTAAATGAGATCTTTAATTTATCATCAACGCGGTTTGGCAAATTGCCAGTTCTCAATGTTGACATGAGATAAGATATTGAGTTTAAAAGTCAGGCGGAGTATCGTGTGTCTTAATAAATTGAGGGCTTTTAAAGTAAGTCTTATTAATTTGTAATTTCATTAAAATATGTCTAACGACGTAAATTATAACTCATTTAATTCATGTGATTTATAATGTGTCGAACTGATAAATCAGTATAAGCAACTGCAAAATTAGAGATGCTGTTGCCATAATTTTTAGACGATTTTCATTGTATATACAGAACATTTTTGTGTTTTAAATGCCCCATTTGATATCCCTTATTCTTCGCTATTTTTTTACTCCTTAATTTCGAAGAAAATAAAGCCTTTTTCAGTACTGAAAGAGGTATTGGTACTATTCGGTTTTGAGGGCCGTAAAAAAATTGCAGCGAAAATGTACGCGCAAAAGCGCCAAATCTAGCGTACGCGTTGATTTCAGATTGCGTAAGTTTATATAGTTCTATATTTCTTTAAGACAATATTGACATACTAGTTTAATTTTTAAATCCTTTTTTGATATCCTATGGATTTAACAATTTGGGAATTGCCCATGACGAAAAATCGGCAACAGAATTTTGGGTAAAGTGCAGAATCACCCACTGCTTGACGCGTTTTTTAAGAATTGCACATATTCGGTATCCATGTGCACATCGACCTATTTTCACTTTAAAACAAATCCTAGAATTGCACAAAAATGGCACTGCGCACACCCTTGACTTTATCTATGTACACATCGACCTAAAATTGTCAAAAATCCAATTGTTTTTACCCTTGTAAAAAGCGGCAAACAAATAAGTGAGCGATTCTGCACTTTACCGAGAATATTTTCAAAGAAAAGGCATCATTCATTATAGAAAATTACGTTTGAACAACCAACGAGATGAAATTATGCTTTAGCGATAAGTCGGTAGCGAAATAACGATGCAGGCATCCATTCAGTTATGTTTAGCAATTTTTATATAAATTATAATAATAATCTGAAATAGTTATTTACTCTTATGCTTCCATTCAGTCACGTTTATCCTTTTTCATATAAATTATAATAATAAAAAAGTATTATATGAAATTAACATTTCATCTAAATTGAAACATCAGTCTTAGATAGTTATTTACTATTATACTTCCTTTCTTGCCGCAATTATTTTTGGCAGCATTAGCATCAACAATAGTTTGGCGATATTTTACGGCCCTTGAAACCGAATAGTGCCGAGGTATTTTATCCCATTTCGCTTGAATAGCCAAAGTCCAACGAGGATTGTAGGTCGACGTTTGGACAATTCGCTTTTTTAAAGTCCAAATACTTCAGTACGGTTTTTAAGAGTGAGGTTATAGTTATCGAAGAGGGAATAAACGCTGTTTCGTCCTTTACAGATCTTAAGGCAGTATGGTTTTTGTCTGACAATCGTAGCGCCATCCAATATCTTTCAAACTGGCGAAGAGTTAGTGATAGGGCCGGAATTGCACTTCTTAGCAAACTTAAGCAGGTTTCGTCACTCTGTAAAGTGCACCTTCAGTGGATTCCTTCCGATGTTGACATATGGGGGAATGAAATGGCAGACATTCTGGCGAAAGAGGGTTCTGAAGAACCATTACCATTTACCAATTCGTTGACATATCTTGAACTGTATTCCATTAGAAGACATGCAGATAGGCAAATTTGGCTCGTTCCACCGAATCATCCCTGGTATTAAGGTGATTGTCCTGGAAGATCTCTTGCTATTGATTGCGATAGATGTGTTCAGACAACACTCACCGGCACATATCCTTCAGTGCCTGGAGTTGTCTCTTGAGAAGCTTTACGAGTCTCCTAAGCTTGTTTTCGATTTTCTGAAGGTGAATGGACTCGTGGACATCGTCTAGTATATTCCTAGACATGGAGGTTAGTAACAACAACAACAACAACAATGTCCAAATGCGCAAGAATCCGTAGATAATAACATCAGGAGGTTTAGTAGGGATATGTGTGAAGATTTAGTAGGGATATGTGTGAAGATTTAGTAGGGATATGTGTGAAGATTTAGTAGGGATATGTGTGAAGATTTAGTAGGGAAATGTGTGAAGATTTAGTAGGGATATGTGTGAAGGATCTTGCTTTGCTACACGTTTCTTGTTCCATTCTTTGCAGGAAATTAACAGTGGGTTTTGATGCGCGTCTGCTTGCTTTGTGTTGATGCAGTTCCACTGATTGGTGACACTGTAGGTAAAGAGAATGTATTTTATATTTGAAAATTAGGTATGAGATGCGCTTCTGATAATATGTGGAGTTGACCTTAACAGTTTTCTTCACTCTCTTTAATTTTTATTGGTTGTTATATCAAAAACCAACAGCAATCATAAATCCCTTTAATAAACTTTCTTTAGATTCTTTGAACCATGTTCTAAGAATTTTTTTTTCTTTGTGATGATAATAAATGGATCTCTTTTTGTTGGAGTCATTTAAATATACCCAAGATTCATCTATTATGACAACAGTTTTGCATTTTTTGTTCGAATAATTGTTTCTCATAAAGAATTCTGTAGTGCAGAGGTTCCCAAACTATTTCAGTACGCGGCACACTTAGAGTTTGGTTACTTTTTTCACGGCGACGCTGTTGCAATATTTCTACCATAATGATAATCAGGCACAGAAATGAAAACAACATTTTAGTGAAAAAGTATAATAATTTTAATTGATCAGAAGACGTACAAACCTTCAGTAACAAATAATAAACTCCTTGTGACAGGTAAGCTTCTTGATGCCCGTGCAGTTTTCAAATCACGGAAGATGACTTGAGACAGCTATTCTTATTTTTTGCTTCATATTGATTTTCGAACTATATTTGGTCTTTATTAAAGCGATAGCTGAAACAAGCTACAGACGACTAGGATGTCGCAAAGGAAATGAGGATCCTTAGAGTTTTAAAACTTTTAAGCTACATACTAAATTTTGATTGAAATCCAAATATTGTATCAAAAACGTTTGATTGAAATCCAAAACTAATTAAACTCTCTTCATCTTGCGAATGAAAAGGATCTTGGATCAACATAAATTTCTCTACATTATCTTTCGCAAAGTATTTTGCAAACCACTCAGTGAGCTTTGAAAGGCGTTCTATGAAAAGGGACAGGAAATCCTATAGAACGAGAACTTTGTTGGAAGTTGTGGTTTAGTACAATGTAGCTATCCACAACTCCAGCTTTTTCCTAAATGCTGAAATCTTTTCTGCAAGTTTCAAGATGTGAATACATTGCCCTGTAGTGACAGATTCAAGAACTTTAGTTTGTCAAAAATGCCGCCCTAATATGCTAGTGTCAGTGGAAAGTCTGGTTCGACAAAATTCTTAGCGATCTCATGATCTTCCTCTTTCAGAAAAGTGTGAAATTCTTGATGCCTTCCGAAGGCATGAAACTGGGCGTTGTCACGCAAAAGCCATCGTGAACTGCAATAGTTATACCATAGCCGTGTGTTCAGCTTCCATATCCTTGCATAGGTTATAAGGTA